GGTTCTGTTGGCGCTTTAGCTCTGATGGCGTCTATTCAGCGTCCTCGGCCTACAAGGCGATGTTCGTTGGTTCCTCGACGCTGAGGAGTGCAAAGGAGTTATGGAAGACCAGTGCACCTCCAAAGGTTAAATTCTTTTTCTGGCTAGCAATTCATAACGGGTGCTGGACGGCGAGTCGAAGGAAGAAAAGAGGGCTGCAAGACTGCGATCTCCTTTCTTTTGTTTTCTTCCTTCCTCAGCAATCCGTGGCTTGCCTTGTGTATTTGTGTTGCTACCGTTTTAATGAAAAATGTGCTCGTTGTGGTCGCGAAAGAAAGATAAAGTGTATGAACCTAGGTTGACATAATCAGATACTTTGGTTGCTACCTTCCCCCTAAAATCACCACAATGCATATGACATTAATAGGAGACACCAATTTCTATACAACATGACAATGCGCCACAACTAATTTCATAGCCACCAAATGAGACATAATCTACTCACATCATTCTGTAGCCCAAAAAATACAACAATAAGGAGAAAATAGAACAACAACCATTGGCCCTGAAGAATCACAGTAGGAGGGCTGCAATTTCTGTAGTTATTTCACCATCATTAAACACAAAATCATTAGCTTGTAATGGTACCCTACATTCAATACAATGTCTGTTGTATCGGGCGGATTTCAAAACATAATATCACCATGGATAGAAAACAATGGGAAAGGCCAAGTCTAAATTTCAACTCTACACTCCTTTGAGCGAAGACAAAGATGAATCTTGGCCTCATTTACATTTTGGGTTCTCTTAGAGCCTGTTTGGATTAAATAGAGTTAGTTACTAGTTGGACTAAAAAAATTAGCTCAATTTGGTTAGCTAGTTGGCTAACAACTAGATAAAGGCTTGGCTAGAAAAATAGTGCGCCTATTAGCTTTCCTGCTTGGATCACCAGAGCTAATTTTAAATAATTTTTAGTTAGCTAGCAATTAGCTCTTGTATCAAACAGGCCCTTAATCCCCACAAGCAACGCTAAGCTAACATACGTAGTGCTGTCAACGCTTAGTGCTATTTGAAGATGAATACCATAACATATGTTACTACCAAAACATGCTCAAAATGGAACATATTGACATTGCGCAACACAACTAGCGTCTATACAGGTTGATCCAACCCTAGGCTCCCGTGAAAATAAACGTCCGGGATGGATACCTGACCCACAGTTTCCTAGGTCGGGAATCAAATAGGCCCCAGTCTCGGACCCGCATGCAACGCAAGCGCAAGCGGCTTGGCCCCATCGCCGCCATGCCGCAGCATGCAACAGGCCAACAAACCATGGGGGCCTGGCCCCATGCCGCTCGAAACCACCTAGAAAAGCAGCACCTGTCTGCTTGAGTGCTTGGGACGAGGAAAAAGGATGTCGGCGCCGCTCTCGTCCGCCTAGCGGAGAAGCTACTTGATGCGGCGGCAAAACCTGGGAATGGTCTGGAATCCAGCCCAAAACCGCACCAGACCAATTCTCTGAGGTCACGTGCATCCAGTCCACCCCACTCCACTGTTTGTGTTCCTTGACCCAAATCCAACAAAACCACCTTCTAATTTAAAATCAAACCAAACTGCACCTACTACTCAGACTGGTTTGAATCCATCTCAAACCTGTTTTCAAGCTTCCGATCAAACGCTTTATGCCTTGGTTTACTAACCTGCTACCGTACATATGAATGTGAGCATGCATGTTAAGACATCAATTCTCATACTGTCATACAGATAAATTGAATAGCGTCTATTTACCATTGGATCACCTAAGTTTACTTACATTATAAATTTACAAAAAAACAAATAGACCTAATTAATTGAGTGAGTATTTAAATAGAAAAATGGGGGGGAATCTAGATAATTTAAAGGACATAAATATGAGAGGAATATTTAAACAGAGCTGCTAGCGCCCAGACGTCCGCCCGCGACACTAGCATGGGACTCCTGCCAGCTGTATACTCGGGACGCCTACGGCAGCTGAACATTTGCGATGCATTCTGCAGTATACATGCGACGCCTATGACATCTATATATTCACCTATCACATTGGATGACAGCTAGTATATTTTAAAATTTCCACAAACATTAATATCGTGTTGCAAGCAACGCCCATGGATTATATCTTTTGTGGCGCCGTTTTGGTCAAGTCTGCTGAAACATTGATGCTATGTTGCAAGCGTTGAATTTTAATTGGGCTTGGCCAATTTTAATTCAATTAAAATCAAATAAATCTGAAGGCCATATTAAATGATAGGCACAGCGAGCGAACGAAAGCCCTAGCGCGTTGGGTCCACGAGCGAGCGCCCCCAGCAGCAGGCCTGCGTCGCCCCGAACGTCGCCCTAGCCGCCCCGAACGTCACCTGTGCCACCGGCCGCTTCCCACACGTATCCCATATGCAACACCCGTTCTATTTTGAAACATCTAGATGTAACAGTTGCAACATACAAAAGAAGACAGATAAAACACTTGAAACAAGCGTCTGAAACACTTGCGAAAACGCCTAAAAACATTTAAAAATCATTGCAAACATATGTAATATCCAGATGCAACAGTTGCAACATACAAAAAAAGATAGATAAAACACTTGAAACAAGCGTCTGAAACACTTACGAAAACGTCTAAAAACACTTGAAAACCATTGCAAACATATGCAACATCCAGATAAAACACTTGAACCATACGTATGAAACACCTGAAACACTCGAAACATATCCTTGCAACATGGATGTATATGCAACATCTAGATTCTACTTTTGCAACATCCAGATAAAACACGTGCAACATACATCTAGAACAGATAAAATATTTGGAACATATACTTCAAACAAACGTGTATAGCTATTACAACATGTCCAACATTTTGATATGCATTGCAACATCGATATACAACACTTGCAACATACCTCTAAAACATATGAAGCACTTGAAACATACTATTGCAACATGCGCTTTTAGCTTAGCATCTACCTGCTGCTTGGACGAACGGAGGCTCGTTGATGCGGAGCTCGATGCTGCGGAGTGGCGTTGGGGGATGCCTGCGGGCGGGTGGCAGCGCGGCGCTGGCAAGCGGCTGTGCAGCCATCGACGAGCGGCTGGCGGGTGCGGTCCCCCATGGTGGAGGCGACAGCGCCGCTCGCGGCGAGTGTCCCCCATGCTAGGAAGGTGAGCGGCGGGAAAGCGGCGCGGTGAAGTCAGCCACGGAAGACGCATGCGCACGGTGAAAGAAGGCGCGACGAGAAGAAATGGGGAATCAGCATTTTTTATGGAGAAACCGAGAGCAAGCTCCGAATCAAACTCCGCAGGCCCATGAAGGGCACGTCCGGAGCATCGGACGCCCTGAGGAGAACATTTCTGCAGATAATTTTTTTTATAGAGAGGCGGGCTAAAAGACACCTAGATCCTAGCATTATCTTAAACTTTTGTAACTTGGCTAGGAAAACAATGAAATTATGTTATCCTATATAAATGAACTATATATTATGAAAGTATTGTTGGTAATAAGTTTAATTATAAGGTTAACTTTAAAAAAATGTCAGATATTTATGACTAAAGTTAAAAAATTGACTTAAAACAAACCTAAAATGTCTTCAAATTTGCTAATGTAGTTGGTATCTAGTATAACTCGTCTACAAGTTTGTGGTAAGCGCCATGATGTTCTTTTGATATGCTCGAGGGAAAGTATCATATTTGGTACATGGTCTAGCAGTAATATATAGATACTCCCTCCGTCCTAAAATAGAAGTCGTTCTCGCTTTCCGAGAAGTCAACATTTTCAACTTTGACCACTTATGTGTAAAAGAATATTAATATTTATAATACATAATTAATATCATTAGATAGATCGTTGAATATACTTTTATAATAAACTTATTTGGAGATATAAATGTTACACGTATTTTCTACAAAGCTAGTTAAAGATGAAAAAGTTTGATCTGCACGTATCCTATAACGACCTCTATTTTGGGACGGAGGGAGTAGGTTCTAGTATAAATAATCTATATTTCTGTTTAGCGAAAGTGATAGCCAACTAGCCAAGACAGTAGTTAAATGTGATACGACTAGCGGCACAGAAATGAAAAAAAGCCAGAAGGAACCACGGGAGTCAAAAGTAACGTCACAGCCACGCACGGACGGGTCGTCCGATGGAACGGACGCCCGCCACCCAGCATTTCCGATATTTAAAGACCATTGGATCACCTCAAGCTGCATGGCGCCGACGGTGAGGGGCACGGATCCTGGCGCGGTGGCACAATGTTGCAGATCTCATTCCTGTTCAGTGTCGCCCAGGACTCGGCCCATGTTTTTTTTTGAGAGGAGGACTCGGCCCATGTTTTTTTTTAGAGGAGGACTCGGCCCACGGTGAGGGGCTGAATTTTGAAAAAGGAACGCGGCCCACGTTACACGTTTTTTGGGAGAGCCGTCTCTTCCCGTTAACCCGTTTCCTACCCGTGACGATGGAAGATGTCCTTTTCTCAATTCCTGACCTGACGAATGGTGCCTCCGATGATCCCGTAGATTGTCTCGCTCGCACGGTTGTACTCGCGGCCCGTAGTCCCTAGGGAAGAAGCACCGAAGTTGCCAATTCAACATCAACTTTGACAACAGATTCATGCGTCATGCATGATGCTAACGAGAAGTTGTTTTCGCCCATGTGCCCAGGTAAGCTCGCCCAGGAAGGCAGGAATTAACCCCTGCCTGCGCGGCGCCGGTTCGGACTTCAGAGCTGAAAGGTCAAGCAGCACCCCCAAGGCCCCAACCATCACCTGCGGACCTGCCAATTGCCCGAGTGCTTCTGACTTCCAGTGCCTGCTTCTGACCCGCATCCTATCGTCAACAGACCACATCAATACTAGTACTAGGATTCATCATCAGTATATAAACGAACCAGAACCACCTGTCTGTCTGCAAACGCAATCGTTTCAAGCCTGACTGTCCGTCTCTGCTCGACTACCCCTGCTCTGCTCCTGCACCGGGTCAGCTGAAGATCATGGAAGGAGCCGTTCCCAAGCCATCGGAGAAGAGGTGCACGCAAAGCACGCCTTTAGTTTCTGGCCGATCATTGATAGATCGGCAGCAGCTTGAGTTCTGCATCTTTCCGCCCTGCTGCATGTTTTGATGTGCGCTTGCCCTTACCTCTTCGATGGTTTATTTTCTTGTGGACGCCAGGGTGGCCCTGGTCACCGGCGGGAACCGGGGCATGGGGTTCGAGATATGCCGGCAGCTGGCGTCCAGCGGGCTCACCGTAGTCCTGACCGCGCGGAACGAGACGAGGGGAGCCGAGGCGGTCGACAGGCTTCGCGGCCTCTGCCTGCCGGACGTCGTGTTCCACCAGCTGGACATCACGGAGCCCGCCAGCGCTGCTCGCTTGGCTGATTTCGTCAGGAGCAAGTTCGGCAGGCTCGATGTGTTGGTACGCCTGGCTCCCTGCTACTCCTACCTCTGACGGTCGTCTTGGTGTGCATAAACTGGTTGCTTGCTCGACGTGATGCTCTAATCGATTCATACTCTGCAGATCAACAACGCAGGAATAATGGGAGTGACGATGGAGGTTGGAGATGAGGCAGCCATCAAAGAAATGGTACGTATACCAAGAGGGAAAATGCTGGGCTAGCATGTTACTCCTACTAGTACTATCAGTACATTTGGTGTTTAGACACTTACGCAGTTTGGCTGCATCGAAACAGATGGTAGGCAAGGACCAGAACGAGATTGCTGAATGGCTGAAGCAGAGGACCACGCAGAACATCGAGCAAGCAGAGGAATGCGTCAGAATTAACTACCACGGCACCAAAACCGTCGCGGAAGCTCTCCTTCCGCTCGTGCAATCCTCCTCTGACGGAAGGATCGTCAACGTCACTTCAGCCTTTGGGCTACTCAGGGTACGTGCCCTGATCATACAGAACAGATCATCACAATTGTAAGAGGGGAAAATCTGTAAAACCATCCAATCCAATGCAATCTTCTTCATGTATCCTGCTCTTTTTGGTGCAGTTCTTCAGCGGCGAGGAGCTCCGGCAGGAGCTGAGCAGCATCTGCACGCTGACCAAGCAACGGCTGGACGAGCTGTCGGCGCTGTTCCTGGAGGACTACAAGAGCGGCAAGCTGGAGCCCCGTGGATGGCCGACCGACCGGGTGTACGCGGCGTACCAGGCGTCCAAGGCGCTCGTTGCCGCCTACACGAGGATCCTCGCCAGGGAGAACCCGGCGCTGCGGGTCAACTGCGTGCACCCGGGCTACGTCGAGACGGAGATGAACTGCAACACCGGTGACCTGACGGCCGCGGAAGGCGCCCGGGTCTCCGTCGCGGTCGCTGTCGCCGACCACGGCGGCGTCACTGGCGCTTACTTCGACCGCACTGAAATAGCTTCATTCGTGTAATCCTGGAATACTATGTGTAAAGAAGAACACGTCTTTATCTTAGACACGCATATTGCTTTGGGTGGTTCCCTGGCTCTCTCTTAGCCAGTCTTTTTGAATATCGAGGCTTTTACCTATGTGTCATTATAAAAGTTACTAATTACTCATAAGCCATTAAAAAAGTTAAGTTATCACATGTGTCACTGTTACGAACTCTTTTGTTCTTCACGTCACTTCCATCACATTTGACTGTAACGGTGTCAAACCGCGAGTGTGAAAAGTCGAAAATATCCTCAGGTCTGAATATGCAATTAATTTGTTGGAGTATCCTAATGACCTTAAATGAAAAAACTCAAAACTAGAAAGTTGTAGATCTCGATAATATCTACAATTTTTGTATAAAAATTATCTTCATTATTTTCGTACAAAAAATATATGATTTGATATGATTAATATATCTTAGAAAAGTCACATTTTTTTTGTACGAAATCAAATGAAGATAGTTTTTATATAAATATTATAGATCTTGACGAGATCTATAACTTTCTAATTTTGAGTTTTTTTTATTTGAGATCGTTAAGATGCTAAAAAATTTAATTGCATATTTAGACACGAGGGTATTTTTTATTTTTCACATCCGTAGTTTGACACCGTTAAAGTCAAAATTGACGAAAGTGGCGTGGAGGGCAAAAGAGTTCAGAGCAGTGGCACCTATGAAAACTCAACTTTTTAATGGCTCATATGTAATTGCCAAACTTTTATAATGACACGCTGGTAGAAGCCTCAAACCTAAGAGCAACTCCAACAGTTTGGCTAAAATTAGTAGCCAAATTCTATTGTTTAGCTATTTTGTAAGATAGAAAACTCGTTAAAAAAATAAGAGATCCACAGTGGCCTCGTTCGGCTGGTGTAAAAACCAGCCGGAATTCACGGTTTACGGCTGTTTTTTATTGTTCACGCTCTCACAAATTCCTTCAGATTACTCCAAATTCCTTCCAGCGAACAGGACCAATAGCCTTGCTATTTTACAAAGTCTGATAGCGAGCACTCGTGGTTGGCTATATATGGCCACCGAAAATTAAGGGATAGCCAGCTTCCTATTTTACAAAGTCAGGTAGCATATTTATTGAAGCCTAATTTTTGCTATATAAATTCAAAAATAATCTTCACAACAAGAATACCCAAGCTGTTAGAGTTGCTCTAAGTTGGCAGCCTCCACCGCAGCAAGCCAGGGGGTCTTCCGCAGTGTTGCGCCTGAGTAACGCTTGAAATGGAGAGAGGATTTAGGAGCCGCTCCCTACACTGCAACTATGATGCTATCTTTTCACCGGTGCTTCAAAATCTCGGAGCGGTGCAACTACTTGCTCCGCTGCCTACCGATGCTCAGATATTAAACAATATTATTTTACCGGTGCAGTGACCCTCGCGCTGCTGTTTGGTGTTGATGGTGGGCAATACTTTATCTTATCATGTGGTCCCAGACCAAAGATGGCTGCGATGCCTGGCTTTCGAGTACGCTGCAGCACTTCAAACATGGTGCCCGTTTCCTGCCATGGGACCCACAATTTATCTGGCACTACTTCTACATTGCGGAAGGCCTAGCCAGGCTAGCAAAGAACGCGGTTGCTCCTCGTTTTTTCGGTTCACCTCCTGCCGCTTCGTCACCCCCGCTTTGCCATCTTACGCCGCCGCATCTGCGCCCCGCTTTGCCCTTCCTCACCGTGATGGCCACCCCCGCCGCCGCACCTGCACCCCACCTTGTCCTCCCCCACCGTGACGCCCACGCCCCACCTTTGGTGGTGCAGCCATGGAGCACGAGGCGGGTCTCCGGCCGCTCACCCAACCGCAGCGGTGACGGGCGAGGGACGGCCAGGGGCCGCTGCGTCGCACGGAGGGTCGGAGGGATGCTCGGCGAGGCTGAGGCCGGCGACGGCGCCGGCATGGAGGCAACGAGCTGCCACTACTGCGGAACCGCGGTAGCAGCGACCTGCATCGAGTGCCGCGCGCCAGGGTCTACTCCACCACGCCTGCGCCCCGCTCTGTGCCGAATGCCTCGCCGCTGGGGCCGTCTTCCGCCGCGCCTCTTCCGCCTTCCTCTGCTCCAACTGCGACTTCGGGAGGCACATGTCCACGGCCGCTGCGCCGTGCTGCCGAAGATGGTGCTTGGTGGAACATCTAGGAGGACGAGGAACCCCAGGTGCTGAGCTTGGAGGATCTGAATATCTGATAACGCTGTCCTCGCGACCTCGCCCAAGGTAGTAGCAATGCGCATGCGCTGCCTTGTCCCCTTAATTCTCTGCTCTCATTGCCCACTGAATTTTAGTCATGTCTACGTTTTACTCTGATTTCTGTGATGTAAATTCTCGACTGGTTATCAGTCAGGTTGGTTCACATGCCTCTGCTCAATGATGGTTGCAGATATGTTTGTGTGCTAAATCATATGAATTTTTGTTGTTATTTCGTTGCTCAAATGGACTAGATTGATCCGGATCGAGGCACTCACTGAATGTACATATGTGAAAATACATGTATAAGCAACAGGGTAATAAAGAACTGAACTGCATCAACCTACTTCTAGACCATTCAGTTTCGTGAATGTCCAAATGCAGTCCCATCAACATGCTACTTCCTTTAAGCAGAACTCAAACTCCATCAACCTGCTATATACTAAGGGAGCGTTTGGTTTACGTCCAAAGGATGCCACACCGTGCCGCAACTTCAGCGCCGCAGTTGCAGCATGCGTTTGGTTCACTGCCCCATTTGCGGCATGCCGCAGCCCTGCCGTGGTCTTCTAGTGCATTTTAGGTGCAAAAACGTGCCGGAGGTGCGGCGGCCGATTTCAGCGCCGCAGTTATGGCGCGGCCAAAGGTTCGGTGCGGCAGCTTGTGGACACCGTCCAAACGCGCCCTAAACCTTTGAATAGCAGGAGCAGAGGAACTTTGGCAGCATGTTAGTTTTATGACTGAGCAAATACACCTATCACATGCGACGCCTATGACATCTATATATTCACCTATCACATTGGATGACAGCTAGTATATTTTAAAATTTCCACAAACATTAATATCGTGTTGCAAGCAACGCCCATGGATTATATCTTTTGTGGCGCCGTTTTGGTCAAGTCTGCTGAAACATTGATGCTATGTTGCAAGCGTTGAATTTTAATTGGGCTTGGCCAATTTTAATTCAATTAAAATCAAATAAATCTGAAGGCCATATTAAATGATAGGCACAGCGAGCGAACGAAAGCCCTAGCGCGTTGGGTCCACGAGCGAGCGCCCCCAGCAGCGGGCCTGCGTCGCCCCGAACGTCACCCTCGCCGCCCCGAATGTCGCCTGTGCCACCGGTCGCTTCCCACACGTATCCCATATACAACACCCGTTCTATTTTGAAACATCTAGATGTAACAATTGCAACATATAAAAGAAGACAGATGAAACACTTGAAATAAGCATCTAAAACACTTGCGAAAACGCCTAAAAACATTTAAAACCCATTGCAAACATATGCAATATCCAGATGCAACAGTTGCAACATACAAAAGAAGATAGATAAAACACTTGAAACAAGCGTCTGAAACACTTGCGAAAACGTCTAAAAACACTTGAAAACCATTGCAAACATATGCAACATCTAGATGAAACACTTGAACCATACGTATGAAACACCTAAAACACTCGAAACATATCCTTGCAACATGGATGTATATGCAACATCTAGATTCTACTTTTGCAACATCCAGATAAAACACGTGCAACATACGTCTAGAACAGATAAAATATTTGGAACATACACTTCAAACAAACGTGTATAGCTATTACAACATGTCCAACATTTCGATATGCATTGCAACATCGATATACAACACTTGCAACATACCTCTAAAACATATGAAACACTTGAAACATACTATTGCAACATGCGCTTTTAGCTTAGCATCTACCTGCTGCTTGGACGAACGGAGGCTCGTTGATGCGGAGCTCGATCATGAGTGGCGTTAGGGGATACTGGCGGGTGGTGGTGGCGGTATGGGTAAGCAGCGGTATCTTGACCATCGACGAGCGGCGGTGGCGGTGCGGTCCCCATGGTGGAGGCGACAAGCCGCTTCATGGCGCAGTGTCCCCATGCTAGGAAGGTGAGCGGGAAGCGAAAGCGGTAGCGGTGAAGTCACCACGGAAGACGCAAGACGGTGAAAGAAAGTATGACGAGAAGAAATGGGGAATCAGCATTTTTTATGGAGAAACCGAGAGCAAGCTACATATCAAACACGTCCGGAGCATCGGACGCCCTGAGGAGAACATTTCTGCAGATAATTTTTTTTATAGAGAGGCGGGCTAAAAGACACCTAGATCCTAGCATTATCTTAAACTTTTGTAACTTGGCTAGGAAAACAATGAAATTATGTTATCCTATATAAATGAACTATATATTATGAAAGTATTGTTGGTAATAAGTTTAATTATAAGGTTAACTTTAAAAAAATGTCAGATATTTATGACTAAAGTTAAAAAATTGACTTAAAACAAACCTAAAATGTCTTCAAATTTGCTAATGTAGTTGGTATCTAGTATAACTCGTCTACAAGTTTGTGGTAAGCGCCATGATGTTCTTTTGATATGCGCGAGGGAAAGTATCATATTTGGTACATGGTCTAGCAGTAATATATAGATACTCCCTCCGTCCTAAAATAGAAGTCGTTCTCGCTTTCCGAGAAGTCAACATTTTCAACTTTGACCACTTATGTGTAAAAGAATATTAATATTTATAATACATAATTAATATCATTAGATAGATCGTTGAATATACTTTTATAATAAACTTATTTGGAGATATAAATGTTACACGTATTTTCTACAAAGCTAGTTAAAGATGAAAAAGTTTGATCTGCACGTATCCTATAACGACCTCTATTTTGAGACGGAGGGAGTAGGTTCTAGTATAAATAATCTATATTTCTGTTTAGCGAAAGTGATAGCCAACTAGCCAAGACAGTAGTTAAATGTGATACGACTAGCGGCACAGAAATGAAAAAAAGCCAGAAGGAACCACGGGAGTCAAAAGTAACGTCACAGCCACGCACGGACGGGTCGTCCGATGGAACGGACGCCCGCCACCCAGCATTTCCGATATTTAAAGACCATTGGATCACCTCAAGCTGCATGGCGCCGACGGTGAGGGGCACGGATCCTGGCGCGGTGGCACAATGTTGCAGATCTCATTCCTGTTCAGTGTCGCCCAGGACTCGGCCCATGTTTTTTTTTGAGAGGAGGACTCGGCCCATGTTTTTTTAGAGGAGGACTCGGCCCACGGTGAGGGGCTGAATTTTGAAAAGGAACGCGGCCCACGTTACACGTTTTTGGGAGAGCCGTCTCTTCCCGTTAACCCGTTTCCTACCCGTGACGATGGAAGATGTCCTTTTCTCAATTCCTGACCTGACGAATGGTGCCTCCGATGATCCCGTCGATTGTCTCGCTCGCACGGTTGTACTCGCGGCCCGTAGTCCCTAGGGAAGAAGCACCGAAGTTGCCAATTCAACATCAACTTTGACAACAGATTCATGCGTCATGCATGATGCTAACGAGAAGTTGTTTTCGCCCATGTGCCCAGGTAAGCTCGCCCAGGAAGGCAGGAATTAACCCCTGCCTGCGCGGCGCCGGTTCGGACTTCAGAGCTGAAAGGTCAAGCAGCACCCCCAAGGCCCCAACCATCACCTGCGGACCTGCCAATTGCCCGAGTGCTTCTGACTTCCAGTGCCTGCTTCTGACCCGCATCCTCTCGTCAACAGACCACATCAATACTAGTACTAGGATTCATCATCAGTATATAAACGAACCAGAACCACCTGTCTGTCTGCAAACGCAATCGTTTCAAGCCTGACTGTCCGTCTCTGCTCGACTACCCCTGCTCTGCTCCTGCACCGGGTCAGCTGAAGATCATGGAAGGAGCCGTTCCCAAGCCATCGGAGAAGAGGTGCACGCAAAGCACGCCTTTCGTTTCTGGCCGATCATTGATAGATCGGCAGCAGCTTGAGTTCTGCATCTTTCCGCCCTGCTGCATGTTTTGATGTGCGCTTGCCCTTACCTCTTCGATGGTTTATTTTCTTGTGGACGCCAGGGTGGCCCTGGTCACCGGCGGGAACCGGGGCATGGGGTTCGAGATATGCCGGCAGCTGGCGTCCAGCGGGCTCACCGTTGTCCTGACCGCGCGGAACGAGACAAGGGGAGCCGAGGCGGTCGACAGGCTTCGCGGCCTCGGCCTGCCGGACGTCGTGTTCCACCAGCTGGACATCACGGAGCCCGCCAGCGCTGCTCGCTTGGCTGATTTCGTCAGGAGCAAGTTCGGCAGGCTCGATGTGTTGGTACGCCTGGCTCCCTGCTACTCCTACCTCTGACGGTCGTCTTGGTGTGCATAAACTGGTTGCTTGCTCGACGTGATGCTCTAATCGATTCATACTCTGCAGATCAACAACGCAGGAATACTGGGAGTGACGATGGAGGTTGGAGATGAGGCAGCCATCAAAGAAATGGTACGTATACCAAGGGGGAAAATGCTGGGCTAGCATGTTACTCCTACTAGTACTATCAGTACATTTGGTGTTAGACACTTACGCAGTTTGGCTGCATCGAAACAGATGGTAGGCAAGGACCAGAACGAGATTGCTGAATGGCTGAAGCAGAGGACCACGCAGAACATCGAGCAAGCAGAGGAATGCGTCAGAATTAACTACCACGGCACCAAAACCGTCACGGAAGCTCTCCTTCCGCTCGTGCAATCCTCCTCTGACGGAAGGATCGTCAACGTCACTTCAGCCTTTGGGCTACTCAGGGTACGTGCCCTGATCATACAGAACAGATCATCACAAATGTAAGAGGGGAAAATCTGTAAAACCATCCAATCCAATGCAATCTTCTTCATGTATCCTGCTCTTTTTGGTGCAGTTCTTCAGCGGCGAGGAGCTCCGGCAGGAGCTGAGCAGCATCTGCACGCTGACCAAGCAACGGCTGGACGAGCTGTCGGCGCTGTTCCTGGAGGACTACAAGAGCGGCAAGCTGGGGCCCCGTGGATGGGCGACTGACCGGGTGTACGCGGCGTACCAGGCGTCCAAGGCGCTCGTCTCCGCCTACACGAGGATCCTCGCCAGGGAGAACCCGGCGCTGCGGGTCAACTGCGTGCACCCGGGCTACGTCGAGACGGAGATGAACTGCAACACCGGTGACCTGACGGCCGCGGAAGGCGCCCGGGTCTCCGTCGCGGTCGCTGTCGCCGACCACGGCGGCGTCACCGGCGCTTACCTCGACCGCACTGAAATAGCTTCATTCGTGTAATCCTGGAATACTAGGTGTAAAGAAGAACACGTCTTATCGTAGACATGCATATTGCTTTGGGTGGTTCCTGGCTATGTCTTAGACAGTCTTTCTGGAGCTAACTTAAACCTATCGAGGTTTTTTCCTATGTGCCATTATAAAAGTTACTAATTACTTATAAGCCATTAAAAAAAGTTAAGTTTCACATGTGTCACTGCTATGAACTCTTTTACTCTTTACGCCATTTCCGTCAGATTTGGTTGTAACGATGTCAAACCGCGAGTGTGAAAAGTCCAAAATATCCTCAGGTCTGAATATACAATTATTTTTTGGAGTATCTTAATGACTTCAAATGAAAAAACTCAAAACTAGAAAGTTGTAGATCTCGATAATATCTACAATTTTTGTATAAAAATTATCTTCATTATTTTCGTATAAAAAATGTATGATTTGATATGATTAATATGTCTTAGAAAAGTCATATTTTTTTTTGTACAGAATCAAATTAAGATAGTTTTTATATAAATATTATAGATCTTGACGAGATCTATAACTTTCTAATTTTAAGTTTTTTATTTGAGATCGTTAAGATGCTAAAAAAATTAATTGCATATTTAAACACGAGGGTATTTTTGATTTTTCACATCCGTAGTTTGACACCGTTAGAACCAAATTTAACTAAAGTGGTGTAGAGGACAAAAGAGTTCAGAGCAGTGGCACCTATAAAAAAAAAACCTCCAACTTTTTTAATGATACGTAAGTACCAAACTTTTATAATAACACGCTTGTAAAAGCCTCCGACCTATTTGGTTGGCAGCCTCCACCGCAGCACCGGGGGGGGTCTTAGCCAGGCTAGCAAAGGACTGCTCCTCGTTTTTTCGGTTCACCTCCTGCCGCTCCGTCACCCCGCTGTGCCATCTTACGCCGCCGCATCTGCGCCCCGCTTTGCCCTTCCTCACCGTGATGGCCACCCCTGCCGCCGCACCTGCACCCCACCTTGTCCTTCCCCACCGTGACGCCCACGCCCCACCTTTGGTGGTGCAGCCATGGAGCACGAGGCGGGTCTCCGGCCGCTCACCCAACCGCAGCGGTGACGAGCGAGGGACGGCCAGGGGCCGCTGCATCGCACGGAGGGCCGGAGGGATGCTCGGCGAGGCTGAGGCCGGCGCCGGCGCCGGCATGGAGGCAACGAGCTGCCACTACTGCGGAACCGCGGCAGCGGCGGTCTGCATCGAGTGCCGCGCCGCCGGGGTCTACTCCACCACGCCTGCGCCCCGCTCTGTGCCGAATGCCTCGCCGCTGGGGCCGTCTTCCGCCGCGCCTCGTCTTCCGCCTTCCTCTGCTCCAACTGCGACTTCGGGAGGCACATGTCCACGGCCGCTGCGCCGTGCTGCCGAAGATGGTGCTTGGTGGAACATCTAGGAGGACGAGGAACCCCAGGTGCTGAGCTTGGAGGATCTGAATATCTGATAACGCTGTCCTCGCGACCTCGCCCAAGGTAGTAGCAATGCGCATGCGCTGCCTTGTCCCCTTAATTCTCTGCTCTCATTGCCCACTGAATTTTAGAAATGTCTACGTTTTACTCTGATTTCTGTGATGTCAATTCTCGACTGGTTATCAGTCAGGTTGGTTCACATGGCTCTGCTCAATGATGGTTGCAGATATGTTTGTGTGCTAAATCATATGAATTTTTGTTGTTATTTCGTTGCTCAAATGGACTAGATTGATCTGGATCGAGGCACTCACTGAATGTACATATGTGAAAATACATGTATAAGCAACAGGGTAATAAAGAACTGAACTGCATCAACCTGCTTCTAGACCATTCAGTTTCGTGACTGTCCAAATGCAGTCCAATCAACATGCTACTTCCTTTAAGCAGAACTCAAACTCCATCAACCTGCTATATACTAAACCTTTGAATAGCAGGAGCAGAGGAACTTTGGCAGCATTTATGACTGGGCAAATACAGCATGGCATGTTCCAACCGATTCAGTGGTATGTGGTGTCATTTCCATGGCTGACAATCTCCATTCGCGTGGCAGTGTGCGCACGACGCCGGCGGCGAGGTCGTCCTGCTGCTGTCGTGCTCTCCGACGATGGCCAATAGATGAATGGGGTAAACTTACCGAGTCAAAGAATGGGTGACTCTATGCAAAGCAAACCAGTCAATCAAACACATTATTTGCTACTCAGGCTTAGATAGTACATACAATCTTGGTGGGAGCAGGCTAAGACTGCCCAGGCTAGGATTCTAGCCAGACTAGAAATAGGTCAGGAAATCGAACACACCCTTAATATTCATGTCCAATGCATTATGTTCGGTCACTGTCGTCACCACTCGTTCCTCCTCTCAAGTAGGCATAATGTTATGTGACACTGTGTAGATCTCTACCCTACTCTATAATATATCAAAATTTTCTTTACTAAATCCACCCCCCTCACCACCCCACGGTAACCTAATCTAAGTCCATTTAAATTTGTGTACCAAAGTAATCCAACTTCATATACATGAATGGTATAGAACTCTCCTCAAGCCTTCTTCTCTCACTCATTGAAGATCCAAAGGGCAAAATCATCTAGGTCATGCACAACATTGACACACAGGTCAAGCACAACATTGACACGCTTCCAACTTTTCACGAAAATTACCCACCCGTTACTGGTTATGTTCACACTAGTTCGTTCTTTCCCTTCTTTTCCCCATCATGTGAATAGTTTGTCTATCGTCCTCGTCAGCAGTGAGCGGGCACGCGGAGGATGCGGGGAGAGCGCAACGCGGAGGGTGTGGGGAGAGCATGGGGGACGCCGAAGGACGCGGGCGAGCGCGTGCTCTGCTCCGCCGCACAGGCCAGCGCAAGCTCCACCGACGCACGGGCGAGCTCTACCGACACGCAGGCGAGCGCGAGCTCCACCCGACACGCAGGCGAGCGCGAGCTCCACCACCGCGCGGCGACTGCATAGCACTCCCGAGGCGTCACCGCGGTGGCAACCAGGCCATCTGTACCTGCTACTTGGCCTTCTACAGCTCTACACCCGGCGGAGGAGTGAAGACGACAGAGAAGCCCTTGAAGGAAGCCAAGGGATCGGAGCAGGGGCGGCGCTCGTGGATGGCGCGTGGCCTCGCGCGGGTGTGGACGGGCTCCGCCGCTGCCACGTAGGGGTGCGAGCTCCACCGCGGCCTTGCCCTCTCCTTCCCGACCGCTGGTGAGCCCCAGGCGAGAGGAAGAAGAAGCAAGCCGTGAGGCTGACGAGTGGGGCCCGCATGTAAGTGAGAGAGATTGACGAGATGGTTGATGATGACAAGCCCATGGAAGGCAAGAAGATGTACAAGTTGAGGATGGATTCGGTTCCCAAATGGCATCATGGTCACCAAGGAGTTCGGCTGGAAGCCGAACGGTCGCGTCTCTCTTCGTGTTCTGCAGATAGGTCTTACGTGGCGGAGGGCATGCGGAGGAGAGGAAGGCAATCCAAATCATCAGATTCGTCAGACGCGCATTGGAGGCGATGCAGGACGATAGTGGTGCGCGTTTGAGGATTTGGGCCTGAACTACGCAGCCGTGCCAGTTTTTATCGATGCCTAGCCAAGTCTTTAGAACTGCAATAACATTAGTCGATTAGTCAAAGTCTTTAGAACTCCAATGGCGACCACCAATGGCGATGTCCGAGCGCTGAGGAGTCCCCGGCGTCGCTGGCGATGTCCGAGCACCGAGGAGCGAGAGTCCCCGGCGTCGCTGGCGATGTCCGAGCACAGAAGAGCGAGGAGTCCTTGGCGTCGTTGGCGATGTCCGAGCACCGAAGAGCGAGGAGTCCCCAGCATCGCTGGTGATATCCGAGTGCCGAGGAGTCTCCGACGTCGCTGGCGATGTCTAAGCACTCAGGAGCGAGAGTCCCCGGCGTCTCTGGCGATGTTCGAGCACCGAGGAGCGAGGGTCTCCGGCGTTGCTGGCGATGTCCAAGCGCTGAGGAGTCCTCGGCGTCGCTGGCGATGTCCGAGCACCGAGGAGCGAGGAGTCTCCGATGTGGCTGGTGATGTTCGAGCACCGAGGAGCGAGGAGTCCCTAGCGTCGCTGGCGATGTTCGAGCACCGAGGAGTGAGAAGTCTCCGGCATCGCTGCCGATGTCCGAGCATCGAGGAGCGAGGAGTCCCCGGCGTCGCTGGCGATGTCCGAGCACCAAAGAGTCCCCGGCGTAGGCGGCGATGTCCAAGCACCGAGGAGTT